CCCACGCCCCGCTCAGGTCCCAAGCCTCGCCCCCCGAGGTCCTTTCCGCAGACTTCGTCTCCCACGCCCCGCCCAGACTCCGTCCCCCGAGGGGCCTTCGCGGACCTCCGGCGCCCTTCGCTTCTCACAGGACCCGCCCCCCAGCCATCCCGCTGCACTCCCCGCCTCTCCTACGCCCCGCCCCTCTCAGCTGACCTCCCACGCCCCGCCCCTAGCCGCCGGTTTTTTTTGTTGGTTTTAATGCCTTTACGCACGCGCAGTTCAATGTAGACCCGGAAAGGGATCGCGTGGAGTGAGTATCACGCCGCGGAGCGTGACTGTCCCTCTATGTAGATTAAGCCTGCGCTTCATCGTCTTCCGTTTCCATGCCCGGTGTTCGGGGGTCGCCACGGCTCGTAAAATCCCGGCACCGCCCCCTGCACCCCAGGTAAACTCAGATCTCGCGGTGTGGGTCTGGGAGTCGCTACCCTTTGGGTTAAAATCCCCCTGAGGCTGGTCCCTGCCCTGGCCCTTCTGCCTTCAAGACTTTCATGTCTTCTTCCTGCGCAAAAACCCTTTCCTGACCTCGCCGCCCGCCCCGCGCCGTTTAAAGTCCACTCCTGAGAGGTGGATTCAAGTCTGTCCGGTCCCCCAAGCTTCGCCTTTGTAAATCCCTGGAGGCGCCTTAATCCAGTCCCTGCGAGGCCGTGTCCTCTGCCTGGTCCTGGATTCTGCAGACCCCGCCCCTATCCTAAGACACCGCCGCCCACCGCCTCCCCTCCTCCTCAGACCTGGTCCTTCGGCTCTCCAGACCTCCCCTTCGCAGTCACCTCTTCCCCAACCCCGTGTCGGAGGAGGTGACCGGGGCCTGTCTTGTGACACCCAACTCCAACCCACTGCAAAGTCCTTCTCTTCCCAGATGCAGGCATCCTATCCATCCCCCTCCTTGTATATGTGTGGGAAAGGGGGATCACGAGAAAGAGACAGAGCGACCGAGAGAGATTCAAAAATAAAAAAGAAGGAGCATGAGGGAAACCTATAAACAGATGGCAAAGTTGAGGATGGGTGAGCGATTTGCAAAGAGTAAGAGGGAAAGGAGCCGAGAAATTAGAAGGGAGAGTGGAAGCAAGTGGAGAAACTCAGAGAAAAGCCCGATCTCCAGAGAGATGAAGGACAGCAAGAGAGGGAGAGGGGTGGCAAGGGGGAGGCACCTCAGACAGTGGGAGAGAGGAATGATCGGGAGCCACGCAGCGTAGTGCTGGGACAAGAGGGGACAACTGGTGACAAGGAGAGCAGAAGGGGAACAGCAGCAGGGAGGAAGCTTAGGGATCTGGGGGTGCTAAAGAGTGGGGACCAGGGAGTGTAACAGGGAGGAGAGAGTTTATAGGGAGAGCAGGGGCGGAGCAGAAATGGGGGAAGAAAGAGGCAGAAATATATGCAGATTGGGACAATAAAAAGGTGGGAGAGAGAGCAAAACAAGTTGCAAGAATGGAGCAGAACAGGTGGGGGAAAAAGGATTCGAAGGAAGAAGGGAAGAAAGCAGGAGAGGCTGGGGGCACAAAATGAGGAGCAGAAGCTAGGGGGAAACAGGAAAAAAAAAAACAGCTAGAGAGAAAGTGGGAATGAGAGAGATATACAGAATGAGGGAGAGAAACAACAGTGAAGAAAGAGGAGACCCTGGGTCCAGGTGAGGGATGAGATGGTTGAATGTGATGATTGGGCTGTGGCATCCTGGTTTCTCTTGTTATAATTTAACAAATTTAAAATTTGCTTAAATTAGCCAGGCATGGTGGCCCATGCTATAATGCCAGCACTTTGGGAAGCCAAGGAAAGGATTGCCTGAGCCCAGGGATTTGAGACGAGCCTGGGCAACTTGGCGAGACCTGATCTCTACAATAAATCAAAAAATTAGCCAGGAGTAGTGGCGCATGCCTGTAGTTCCAGCTACTTGGAAGGATGAGGCGGAAAGATTGCCTGAGCCCAGGAGGTCGAGGCTGTGGTGGCTATGATCGTGCCACTGCACTCCAGCCTGGGAGGCAGAGTGAGACTCTGACTCAAAAAAATAAAAATAAAAATAAATTAAAAATAAGAATAAAATTTGTTTAAATGAGTACAGGTAAGGATGATAATTACGAAACTCCTGTCTATAAGACTGGTGCATTTTATAATTATGGCATCAGATGCTAGCTTCCCTTTGCAGTCCCTACTCAGCTAAGGAGCAGTGACTTGACTCATTCAATTGTGGATCACTCCCTTCTTTTTCCTGGGATGGGGTGAGGTGTGAGGGAGTGAAGTGGGGCAGGATGTGACACACTCTGCTCAGCCTGGTGTCTTTATTAAAATAACTGCTGTTGTTTTGTAATAGATTTACTTTTTTCCCCCTAGTTCCCATTCCTTTCATTCATAGTTCATTTTGAAGGTTGAATTAAATTGTTAATTCACTTTCTATTTTTCTGTATATAATTACTTCTCAACTAGACTTTGGTGGCCTCCTATAATGAGCTCATGCCATTCTTTTCTAAATATGGTGTATTTTACATTTTTTCCCCTTTGACCTGAGAATTCATTTGTTGGTTTTTTGTTTGTTTGTTTTTGAGTCTTTGTACCTAGACAGGATTGTGGTGGCACGGTCATGGCTCACTGCAGTCTCGAACTCCTGGACTCAAGGAGTCCTTGCACCTCAGCCCCTCTGAGTACTGGGCCTGCAGGCACACTCACTATGCTTGGCTAATTTCTTTATTTTTTTTGTAGAGACGGGGTCTCACTCTGTTGCTCAGGCTGATCTCAAACTCCTGGCCTCAAGCACTTCCTCCTTGACCTCCCAAAGCACTGGGATTACAGGTGTGAACCACTGCGCCTGGCCATTCTTATATCTTTAAAATCTTTAAAACAAAAAGTCCGCTACGAATTGAGTATTTCCTTGTAGCTACTACCCTTCTTCTATGCTCCACTTAAGAGCGCATTTTACTAAAAACCTGTTTATACTATCTGTCTTCAATTCTGTCTTCCAGTCTCACTGGACCCCATTCAGTCAAGCTTTCACTTCCACCACGCCACTGATCCTTTCTTTTTCTGAGTCACCAGTGACCTCCCTGTTTCTAAATCCAACGTTTAATTTCCTGTCTTCATCTTTCTTGTCAGCAGCATGTGGCACAGGTGATCACTCTTCTTTTCTTGGCCTTTGAGACATCCCACTAAATTTAAACATTTATTTGTTTTAATTTTCTTGTCACCTCTGTGGGCACTTCACACTTACGCCTGCTGGTGTCGCCAGAATTTTGTGTGCTCTGAATCTGGCGTGACCCACGGCTTAATCCTTGAACTTTATCTCATCTCTGTCAGCTCCCACTGCCTTTCCTTATCATCTCATCCCCCGGCTTTAAACCCACCTACATGTCTCTGTTTCCCCTACAAATTTCTCCCCTAAACTCCAGAATCCTGTGTCCAATTGTCCCCTCAACTCTGCTGGGATGTCTAACAGGTATCTCCACCTTCATGTGTCCAGGAGTGACTTCCTGAACTCACCAAACACGTTCCCTGCAGCCCTGAACATCTCAGATGAGGGCCAGCCTGTATGTCCTGGGTCTTAGCTGAATATGTTGACATGTATTTAAAATGTAGGAGACATTACATTGTTCCTAAGTGCTCCAATTAATAATATAAAGAAAACATCAGGTGCGGTGGCTCACACTTGTAACCCCAGCACTTTGGGAGACTGAAGCGAGAGGATTGCTTGAGCCCAGGAGTTTAAAGCCGGCCTAGGCAACACAGCGAGACCTCATCTCAAGGAAAAAAAAATAGCTGGGCATGGTAGTGTACCTTTAGTCCCAGCTACTGGGGAGGCTGAGGCAGGATCACCTGAACCCAGGAAGTCAAAGCTGCAGTGAGCCATAATTATGCCACTGCACTCCTGCCTGGGAGACAGAGTGAGACATCGACTCAGATAAAAAAGAAAGAAAAAATCACATGTTTACTTAAAATGGCTGAGGAAATACTTCATTTCCAAATTCTCTTGAGCTGTGGGAGAAAACAGTTTGGAGCCCTGGCTCTCCCTGATCTGCTCCCCCAGGACCTCTCTGACCTCGTCTCCTCATGTCCTCACTCTGCTCCAGCCACACAGGCCTCTCTCCTTTTCCTGGGTCTGAGGTTGCTCCTGCCTCAGGACCTTCACTTGGGCTGTCCTTCTGCCTAGAACTCTCTGGCCCCTCAGCTGCAGGTGCAAACACCCTTCCTTCCCCAGGTCTTTGTTCTGATGTTGCCTTCTCAAGTGGACCCTTCCCCTGCTCCCAATTGACATTCCAGTCACACCCTTACACCCACCTCTTGTCCATATTGTCTGCTCTGTGTGTTTCTCCCTCACCTTCCATTGTCTGGATCTTGGGGACAACAAGGCTCCAAAGGGAGAGCAGAACCAGAAAGTGGGAGGTGTGCTGGTCCTGCCCTCTTAAGTAGAGTCAACCTGGCTTCTCATTATAATCCTGCAGTATTTTGTAAATACTTCGCTTGCGCCCCCTTCCCAGAGATTCTCATTCACATAGGCAGGTTGGGGCCTGGTCTTAATATTTGCAGTGCTCCAAGTGGTTCTAATCTGCATCCAGCACTGGACATTAAGGCCCTGCGTCCTCCAATCTGAGGGCTGAGGTCAGCCTGTGATCCACAGAGAGGTGAGGGGGGCTGTGCTCTGCAGGGGGTTTGGTCAGGGCTGGCTCTGTGCCCTGGAGGGGAGCTTAAGCCAGCCCAGCTCCCCACTGCTTCAGCAAGTGTGTGGGTTTCACCAGGAGGGGAGCAGATTCTAAAGAAAGGGGTCAAAACTCACTTGACTTTCGTGTTATATAAGAGTTTATTGGCCAGGCTTGGTGGCTCAGCCCATAATCCCAGCACTTTGGGAGGCTGAAGCGAGAGGATTGCCTGAGCCTGCAGGTTCAAGACCCACCTGGGCAACTTGGCAAGACCTCATCTCTATAATAAAATAAAATAAAAAATAGCTGGGCATGGTAGCGCGTGCCTGTAGTTTCAGCTACTTGAAAGGCTGAGGTGGAAGGTAACAGGAGCCCAGCAGTTCGAGGCTGCAGTGGCCATGAGCGTGTCACTGCCCTCCAGCCTGGGTGACAGAGTGAGACTCCAACTCAAAAAAATAAAAAAGAGTTTTTATTGGCTTTGCATGCTCCCCCCATCCTTACCACCTCATCCCCCCATCCCCCCCGGTGCTGTGGGACTCTTTCTTTCCACAGGGTGTGGTCTTCCCTGTGTGTGTGTAATTGTGTCACAGGGAGGGGGTGTGTTGATTCTGAGTGGTGACCAACATATTTGCCATCCAGGGTTGACTTTTTTTTTTTAATTTTAAAAGATGTGGGGTACAATTCAAGGCTAGATATACAAATGTTCATTATGCAGGTATAGAGTTGACTTCTAAATCCCCTTTCATGTTACCCTAGGAAGAGGTCTGACTGACAAGAAAGAGGCAAGAAAAGATGTCAGGGATGGCTTTCTCTCAGGTAAAGCAACCTTTTTGGTGGATTTTCCTGTCTGAAATGACGGGCATTGGAGGTGCTCATCCCTTCTGGGTCAGACGTATCCTGCCTGCCATGTCTGCTCACACTCACCCCTGCCTTCTCTCGATCCCTCTCGTCTCCACTTAGATTCCATCTCCCTGTGACCCAGTGATGTGAACTCATAAGGAGACTTCACGGGGCGTGGTCCTAGGAAGAGCTTACATCCACATGTGGATATAGATGGTTGTGGACCCTGTGGTGTGAGAGATTTTGAGCAGCACGGTTGTTTAGGGGTCACGTCTGGGTATACCGTGAGCTCTTTAGTCCGGGGTTAGAGGAGCTGCACATGGAAGTCATGTGTTCATGTGTACATGTACCTGGCAAAGTCTGGAAAAGTAGACTGAAAGGAGAAATATTTAGTGCCTGATTTTGTAATGCATGTGTAACTGGACTAGAGAGTCAGTGTGTCTCTGACTCTAAACTTTTAATGACTGGAATGGAATGGAAAGTGGAGACACTGACATCAGTGGTAGAGGATATTTTACCTCCATAATGTTTTGGTGTAATGTGTTTTTCATTTTAGGGACACTTGACATTCAGGGATGTGTCCATTGAGTTCTCTCAGGAGGAGTGGAAGTGCCTGGACCCTGCTCAGAGGGCTTTATACAGGGATGTGATGTTGGAGAATTATAGGAACCTGATTTCCCTGGGTGAGGACATGTCCCTCTAGGAGTTGGGAGCTGCCCCTGTGTAACTTTGCATTCTCCATGTTGCCCCTTGTTTGCTTTTGCATTCCTTGATTAAGATTGAAGTGTTGTTAATTCTGAAATGGAGCCACCTGGATTTTAACCATCGCCTTTCTTCAGATTTTCTGCCCCTTCTTGATCCATAGTGGTGGTTCCAGAGATGAAGTATAAATAAAACTTATGGGCGACTTTTTAAAATATTCATTTTCTTGTTTTCTACCCTTGCGCTTGTGATACAGTAGTTCTTGGAAGAGAGCTAGATGCCTGCCTCTTCCAGTGTTTTCAAAGCATTCAGAAGAAGATAGTCAGTAGATGAATTTATGAAAATATTTTCCGAGATCCATCTGTCATGTCCTCTAGTCTCACCCAAAGGGCTGGAGTTCTGGAAAAGTCACAGCCCACTATGTTTTTTTTTTTTTTCATTTTATAGGCAGGAAACTCTTCCTGACCTGAGTGTTAGCTCCATGCTGGAGCAAGGGAAAGAACCCTGAACTGTGGAAAGCCAAGTAAAATTAGCAAGAAAACCAAAAAAGTTGATTCAAAACCAGAGGTGTGATCACAGGTAAGAGCTCAGGTGGGCAGAGAAGAAGTCACACCATTAAATAGCATCTGGGAAACTCTATAATTGGGAATAAAGTGGGAAAACACAAGTTCAAATCCCGTGCGCTTGTACAAGAAATTTTAAACTTTCCCCACTTACAGACATGTAAAAGTTAGTACTTTCGCCCCCTAGTGGTGATGCACACCAACAGAAACGAGGGCAAAGTCCTTTTCATGATGGACAACACCGTCATCTGGCTTCTGTGAACTCTGTGGTTCCTTCCCTCTGCGGGGTCAAGGGAGGCCATTTCACGGAGCTCTCCTTCTCCCTTTGTCTCTCCTGTTCCTGATTCCATCTGATGCTCGATTCACTTTCTGTGTAGATCAGGGCTGAGGCCCCCACCACAGCCCTGATGCCTGGAGATATCCATGTTCCATCCCATTTCGTGTGCTTGGAAGACCCACTCAGGAGACGGGAAACACTGGCTGTTCCTCCTTTGCATCTGGGGACCCAGAAACTACATGGAACCATCTCAAGCCCTCACAGTCATTTCTCTTATTCTGCTTTTGCCACATTTCATGGGTACATGTAACTGGGCATGGGTTGGATCTTCTGAGATTGTTATTCAGCAGAACAATAAAAACAGTCAACACAAAGGTCATCTCTTTGATTCTCCTTTCTTTTTTTTTTTTGTGTTGGAGTCTCACTCTGTCGCCCAGACTGGAGTGCAGTGGCCGCTCCCGGCCTCCGCAGCCTTGACCTGGTGGGCTCCGACGATCCTTCCGCCTCAGCCTTCCGAGTAGCTGGAATTACAGGCACGCGCTACCATGCCTGGCTAATTTTTTGATTTATTGTAGAGATGAGGTCTTGCCTGCCCAGGTGGGTCGCAAATCATTCTCCTTTCTACACAGGGAGCATATCTTCATCTTTTAGGCTCTTAGTGTCTGTGGTCAAAGCACAGAGTCTGGTCTCAAGAGTCCTCAAAATCTAATCATCATATGTCGTATTTTTCTCTCTTCCACTGCTCTTACTAATCTGTAAATGTAGGAAAATCTAGTGTCTTCCTGATTTTGTATTCTTATAAGTTTGAGTGATTTTACCTCTACCTTGCTTTCGATGTACACTTTGCTAGGGTCTGTCCCGCCATCCTTTTCTTCTGCTGTTATCACCAACCCCCCTCCCCCTATAGGTCATGGATAACTTCTTGTGGACTCTCTGATGGAGTGGGTTTACATGATAACAGAAAATTCACGAAGGAGAACTCTGACTAATATGTTTGAATAGCACACTCCTATATATGAATATGCCCCTTGAAGTCCTAAGCAGAAATATCAGCATCTCCCATAATAGTGAGATAGAAAGTCAAGAGAGCCTGACTGATAAGTGTTTCCAGTTGTTTTTGCTCTGTTTTTTTGAGCAGCATCAAAAAAAAAAAAAAAAAAAAGCCAGGGAGTGGGGGGGCACATAACACCAGTAAGGGAACCTGTTCTCAAACCAGGCAAAGTGGGGACCAAAGGGGGCCCCAAACGTTACCTGTTTGATGTCCACTTATATACCTATCCTGAATTGTACCCCACATCTTTAAAATAAAAAATATATATAAGGAAAGTAAATGTCATGCTGGGCACTGTGACAGCGCTAATCACATTTACTAATGCAAATCACAGCAGCAACAATCAGTGGTGTAGACATTTCAAGCAAATAGCCTCATATGTGTGAGGTTCTTGATTAAACTGTGGTTCATGCCCCATTTTTCCATCTCTTGTGTGCCATTGTTCATTCTCATCAACAAAACTTTATTCAAACCCGTTTTCAGTTTGCTGTAGATTCAAACCTGCAACACAGGGTCTTGACACATCTTGTGGCAGGAGCTTGTGAAGTTGAACGATGCCTTTGTTTTTAAAGTCCACTGTCATTTGGTTAAGCCACTGCTGCTTTCATTTTATACATTTCATGTGGTATAGATGAACTTGTTTTCATTCACTTAGTCATCAGTTCTGTTTTTTGATGATACTTTTAGTATTCTTTGTTTTATAACTGTAATGTGAAAAGTGTAGTATCAGGAAATGGCCATTTATTTGTGTATTTTAAGACGTTTTCAAGCTGGGCCTTGTGACTCATGCCTGTAATCCCAGCACTTGGGGAGGCAGCAGTGAGAGGACTGCCTGAGCCCAGGGGTTCAAGCCTGGGCAACTTGGCGAGACCTCGTCTCTACAATAAATCAAAAAATTAGCCAGGTTTGATGGTGTGCACCTATAATCCTAGCTACTTGGGAGGCTGAGATGGAAGGATCGCCTGAATCCAGCAGATCAAGGCTGTGGTGATTGTAAGTGTGCTGCTGTACTCCAGCCTGGATGACAGAGTGAGACCCAACTCAAAAAAAAAGAAGTTTCAGTCTGTGGATGAGTTTCTCTAAAACCTACCCAAACTGCAAAACATATCTGTAGAACAGATAGTCTTAATTATGCCTTTTACTTCTGTGTCACTTGACTTAGTACCTACCATTAGAGCATACTTTTGTCATTTAAATCTATTATGGTTTTTAAATTGGGAATTTTTGAAACCCTGAGAATCTACATTTTTAATTATGTTACTGTCAAATCTCAGAAATAACATTAGATTAACTTGCCATTATTTGTTATTTAAGACAACTTGCTTTATCTAGAACATACTTGGAGGTTTTTAAACATAACTTGGTCGGCTTTGTTTAAATTGATTTCCTAAAACAAATGCTATAGTCGAAAATGTATATTCCCTGTCTAGATTTATGATGTCCATCTTCTTGGCATACTAAATTAATTGTTTAATATCTCAGTTGTATTTTACAGGAAGCTTTCTGCACTTCATGGTCTTTTTGCCTGTTGTTTACATCACCAGTATTTTCTTCACAATGTTTAAGGTTCTAGAAATTGCATTCTTCCATTAGCATGTGGAGACTGTTGTGTCCCCTGTGTTTCTGTCCCTCTGAATTTTATAGCAAGTTTGCCTGTTGCTCATTAGCCCACCTCTTGACTCTGTTGTTCTCGGGCTCTTATTTGCTGCTTTTATTGTTGACCACCTCTTTGTACATCAACCTCCTTTGTGGGTCTCCACTCCATAGCCAGGAAATGTTACTGAAGTTTGTTTTAACTAACAGCGCCTTTCTGCAAGAGCCATTTCCCATTGTGAGTTATTTGCTTATTTTTCCATAAGGTGACTTATGTTCTCCTGATGATGATTATGAAATCAAATTTATTTTGGCTAAGTGCGTATCAAGTTTTATTTTGTTTTCTGATGTTGTTTTTTGTTTTTCTTTGTCAGAGTCTCACTCTGCCGCCCAGGCTGGAGTGCAGTGGCACGTTCACAGCTACCACAGCCTCGACCTCCTGAGCTCAGGCGATCCTTCCGCCTCAGCCTCTCAAGTAGCTAGAACTACAGGCACATGCTACCACACCTGGCTAATATTTTGATTTATTGTAGAGACAGAGTCTCACCAAATTGCTTAGGCTGGGCTTTGGAGGCTGTTCTCAAGATTCTCTCTGTCTTTGAGTTTTGATTATGTGTTTTTAATATGTCTCTATGGGCTCATTCTAGTTGAAGTTGGTTGAACATCTTGACTTTGTATTTTATATTTCTATTTCTAAATATGGAATGTTTTTGTTATTATTTCTTCAAATAAGTTCCCTGAATCTCTGTTCTCCCTGTGGGACTGCAATAATGTGCCTATATATTGTTCTGCTTAATAGAAACCAAAAATTCTGTTAGGCTCTGTTTGCTTGTCTTTACTATTTTTAAAATTTTGTTCTTGGATTCAATAATTTTCAATAATATGTCTCCAGTGTGCTTATTCTTTTTTTCTGCCTTATTTCCTCTGTTTTTAACAATTACCTTAGTAAAAATTTCAGTTTATTTATTGTATTTTAGTTCCAGAATTTTAGTCTGGTTCTTTTTCAAAGTTTGTCTCTTTGAGTCATTTTGTCATACATTGTTTTTCTGGCTTTTAGTTGTCTATCTCTGTTCTACTACTACCACTATTATTATTATTACTATTATTTCCTTCATGGAAAGACAGTTTAAGATGGTTCAAGTTTTTTTTTCCAAGTAATTTCAAGTGCTGTGTCTCTTTTAGGTCAGTTTCTGAAGAATTTTATTATTCCTTTTATTTGGTGATATTTCCCTGTGTTTCTGTAGAACTTCACTTAATGGCCATTTTTGGATGCTGTCTTCCACGTCCTCCTAAAAACATTCATGCACAATCTCCAGGAATCTATCTGTAGGATTTTGTTTAATATGTGCCTAGAACTAGAATTTATGGGACATTGAATTTGATGCATTTCCTAGGAAATACTTAAGAGATGTAAAGCTGCTTTTTCCCCCCATGTCATCATACTGCCTCCCTTTTGCATCTCTTCTATTCTTATCCTACGCCCATAATGCAATTCCCATATTCAGCATGAGTCAGTATTTCTTTCCTTCCAAGGTCAGAATGTTATCTGTCCTAGTAGAATTATATTCTCACAGATATGCAGAAACAATATCTATTTCCACTTTCCCACTACTCCATGCCCTCTGTTCTTTTGCTGTCTCTATCTTTTCCTCTCCTTGATCTGTTACCTTGATCTGGATGCAATATAATGTTACTTCCCAGTGTATAAATTTTGCATTTGGGCCTGGGCACAGTGGCTCACACCTGTAATCCCAGTGTTTTGGGAGGTGGAGGCAAGAGATTGCTTGAGCCCAGGGGTTTCAGACCAACCTGGGTAACTTGGCAAGACCTCATCGCTACAATATATTAAAATATTAAGCCGGGCTCGGTGGCTCAGCCTGTAATCCCACGCCTTTGGGAGGCTGAGGTGAGTGGATTGCCTGAACCCACGGGTTTGAGACCCACCTGGGCAGCAAGACCTCATCTCTACAATAAATCAAAAAATCAGCTGGGCATGGTAGCACATGCCTGTAATTCCGGCTACTCAGAAGGCTGAGGCGGAAGGATCACTGGAGCCCAGCAGGCGAGGCTGCGATGGCCAGGAGCGGCCACTGCACTCCAGTCTGGGTGACCGAGTGAGACTCCAACTCAAAAAAAAAAAAAAAAAATTAGCTGAGTGTGGTGTTGCATGCCTCTGGTTCCAGCTATTTGGAAGGCTGAGGTGGAGGGATCACCTGAGTCCTGCAGGTTGAGGCTGCAGTGGGTCGTGATTTGCTACTGCACTCCAGTCTGCGTGAGAAAGCGAGACTCCGACTCAAAAAAAAATTGTTGTTCTCTGGAGCACCCCAATTTCCACAGGACTTCCTTACCCTCCACTCCACTCTCACTGAGTAAGACAAGATGTTACTCATCCACTTCACAATTTTCAGGATCTTGCCTAAATCAGTATGTGCGGGGAAGGGAGGGTGATGACTCAAATACCGTTATCTATGAGGGATGGCTTAGGAACACTATTAGCACCACTTGTGTCACCCTTGTAATGTTTCTTTATAGACTCCTTGTATTTGCTGTGACTGCTTGTTTCCTCTTCTGCCTGGATGGACAGTTGTGCTTAAAAACATGCTGTCTGAGCCTGCTGGTCGGGGATCAAATCTTCTCTTTCTCATTTTCTTTTTGTGCAAATTGAGATCAGATGTGTAAGTACTGTGGTCCTGGTGTCTATTCAAAAAATGATGATAATTTACCTGAAGGTTTTAAAAACAAGTTTGTACTGTGGGATGGCTTAGAATACTGTAAGTTTTATAGTAAATTCTCAAAAGTTCCTTTGCTTAATTAGATTTATTGACCTTCTGTGATGTTTATGATGAGATTGTCCTTTTTTTCTGTCTTACTTAATTCATCATACCATAAGAATTACCATAGACTAGGAACAGTAAACCACAAAAGTTTATATCTCACAGATCTGAAGGCTGAAAAGTCAAGATCAAGGTCAAATTGGTTCCTGGTGAGGGTCCTCTTCCTAGTGTACCCCACCCACCTGCTAATCTGCTAACTGTTCCATGTGGTGGAGAGAGCAAGAGGAAACAAACTCTGTCATCTCTCCCTCCTGTCTCCTCTCCCTCCCCTCCCCTCTCCTCCCCTCTCCTCTTTTTCAGTCAGAGTCTTACTCTGTCTCCCAGGCTGGAGTGAAGTGGCATGCTCACCTGCTGGGTCAGATGTTCCTTCCACCTCAACCTTCTGAGTAGCTGGGTCTACAGGCGTGTGCCACCATGCCCAACTAACTTTTGATTTATTGTAGAGATGAGGTCTTGCCAGTTTCCCAGACTGGTCTTGCACTCCTGGGCAGTCCTCTCTTCTAAACCTCCCAAGTGCTGAGATTATAGGCATGAGCCACTGTGCCTGGTCTCTTATCTGTTCATAAAAGGGTATTAATCCTATTTATGAGTAGTCCACCCTATTTACGAGTAGCCTCACTGGCAATAACATTGCATTGGGGAATGGGACCTCACCGTATGAATTTTGACCAATATTCAGATCATGAAGGGTGCGTTATATTTTGTATGTTTTTATTTTTGAGTTTGTACTAAGCAAATGTGTTCTTTCATCTCAATAAGCTTTATTATATATATTTTGTGACCAAATAACTAGAATATTAAAGTGCAATATATATATATATATATATATATATATATATATATATATATAGGAAATGGCAGATATGAAATCATCATTGTAATTTTGTATTTTGTTCCTTATTTCTTCTTATTTATAATGCTGTATATTTACCTGACCTCATATACCAAAAGTCAGTGATCTTAATATATGAGGGGAGGACCCCCCCAAAACCAGAATTATCTTTTGGAGGGCAGGCCCCTTGTAGTACAGGCTTCCCCTGCTAGGTAAGTATTCTAGGAAACCATTGGCATCAACGAACCAGCTAACGTTGTTGTGAGAGGCTGTTTTTGACTTCAATGAATTTTTTTGGAGATTCTTTCAACGCATTTACCCATCTCATGAGTGATTTACAAGTGAAACTGCCAACAACACGCTGAGTGTTCAGAAGTTTTTAACAAAAAATGGCATGAACCCTGTGCCCCACCCTCCCTACTCATACGAACTCTCCCTGAGTGATTTTTGGTTTGGTTTTTTTTTTACTTTTCCTGGATTAAAAAAAAGTTCTAAAAGGAAAACATTTTGCCCATATGGCAGAAGCACAAAAGGCATCAAAATTGACAAGTTCAAAAACTGATTTGAGCAGTGGAAAAATGTCTCAATAGATGTATTGCATCATATGGAGAGTAAAAGGTTACTGAAAGTTTCTGTTTTGTTTTTTTTTTTAAAGCAGGATTTATTGAGAGGACAGAAAAGCTCCCACAGTGGGAGGGGGCCTGAGGGGGTTGCCCTGAAGTTTAAACATGTAAGAATAAATGCACATTTTAAAAATAAGTTCCAGTTTTGGGGGGGGTCCCCCTCATATATTTTAGTTCTTATATTGTGTGCTGATCCTGAAATAGAAGTTCTTGTTTTTACTTAAGAGAGAATTTTTGACTGGATTCAGTGGCTCAGCCTATAATCCTGAAGCACTTTGGGAGGCCAAGGCAAGTGGATTGCCTGAGCCCACGCATTCGAGACCAGCTCGGGCAACTTGGCAAGACCTCATTTCTACAATAAATCAAAAAATGAGCCGGGCGTGGTGGCACATGCTGTAGTTCCAACTACTTGGAAGGTTGAGGTGGAAGGATCACCGGAGCCCAGCAGGTTGGCATTGGGATGGCTGTGAGTGTGCCACTGCACTCCAGCCTGGGCAATGGAGTGAGACTCCAACTCAAAAAAAAAAAAAAGAGAGATAATTTTTTTTAGGATTACACAAGCTATAACTTTGTATAAGTGTTGCCACTATTTACTTGCTTATTTTATTATAGGTTACTACAGTACTTTATTAATTAAATTTTATTATGATTTTCAGCGATTAGTTTTCAGTACTATTTTTTTTTTTTTTTTTTGGAGTAAAGGTCTCACTCTGTTCCCCAGGCTTGAGTGCAGTGGCATAATCATGGCTCACCACAGCCTTAGCCTCTTGGGCTTAGGTGACCTTCCTCCTCAGCCTCTGAATAGTTGGGACTATAGGAACATGCTGCCATGCCTGGCTAATTTTTTTTATCTTTTTGCAGAAATGAGGCCCCAGCTGGCCAAACTCCTGGGCTCAAGCAATCCTCCTGCCTCAGCCTCCCAGGATGCTGAGATTACAGGTGTGAACCATTGTGCCCAGACAGTAAGTTCTATGCAATATAACTAACATGCACCACTCATTAATGTCACAGAATGCCTGGTCTGTGTGGATATAGATAGTTTTACACCAGGTGTCCAGAAAAATATGATACTTTTTAACATTGCTTTATTTATTTTTCTCTTGTTTTCTCAGTGCTATTATTGTCTTGCAACTCAGAATTACCATTTACATTATTCTCTGCATAAGTTTGTTGTGGCTTATTTACCATTATAAGATATTGCACAATACTTTAGCAGTGATATGTGCTGTAACTATGTGCGATATAATATTTTTTTCTTTTCAGTAATGAGACTGTCATGTGTTTTCTGCTCATTGGTGTGTACTTTGTTGTCAAAGTGAAAAAGTATTCCTTTCAAGGATAAATATGTTTATACAATGTGAGTTCTTTGGTCATAAGATTTTGAAACTATGCTGTTCTAGAACAGATTTGAATATGTTTAATCATCTTTTTGTTTCCTGAAGAATCCTATTCCCTTTGTCTTCCTAGAAATTAAAGATCATGATTGGGAAGTTTTATAGCTCTATTCAATATAAATATTATTTTGTGTAATTATGTTTTCAGTATGAAATATTCATTTGCCATCTGTAATAAGTTCAAAGCCTATGGTTCTCTATATTTTACAGGTATCTCTCCTAAGTATGTGATCAAGGAATTATCACTGAAATGGAAAAGTAACACAAGAGAAGTATTTTATATAGTAACACTGGGAAGACATGAAAGCCATGACATTGAAGATTTTTGCTTCAGGGAAATCCAGAAACATATACATGACTTTGAGTGTCAGTGGAGAGATGTTGAAAGACATTACAAAGAAGAGCATATGGCCCACAAAGAAAATATCACTAGCGGAAGAGACCAACATGATAGAAGAGATGCCAGAAAGAAGCCTGTTAAAAATCAGTTTGGATTAGGCTTTCAGTTACATCCCCCTGAACTACATGGTTTTCAAACTGAAGGGAAAATTTATCAGTGTAATCAAGTGAAAAAGTCTACCAACCATGGTTCCTCAGTTTCACCACCCCAAAGTAATTCTTCTAGAGTCAAAACTCATATTTCTAATAAATGTGGGACTGATTTCTTCCATTCCTCATCACTGACACAAAGACAGACATTAAGCATTAGGGGAAAACCTTACAAGTATAATGAGTGTGGCAAAGCCTTTAATCATGACTCACAATTTACTGTGCATCAGATAATCCATTCTAGAGAGAAACAATACAAATGTGATATATGTGGCAGGGTCTTTAGTCAAAAATCAAACCTCGCACGTCATCGGAGAGTTCATACTGGAGAGAAACCTTACCAATGTAATGACTGTGACAAGGTTTTTAGTTGCAACTCGTGCCTTGCACTTCACTGGAGAATTCATACAGAAGAGAAACTTCACAAATGTTATGAATGTGGAAAGGTCTTTAGTCGTAATTCATGCTTTGCACTACATCAGAGAATTCATATTGGAGAGAAACCTTATAAGTGTAACAAGTGTGGCAAAACCTTTAGTGTGCGGTCAACACTTACTAACCATCAAGTAACTCATAGTGGAGAGAAACCTTACAAATGTAATGAATGTGGCAAGGTCTTCAGTTACAATTCACACTTTGCAAGTCATCAGAGAATTCACACCGGAGAGAAGCCTTACAAGTGTAATGAGTGTGGCAAAGCCTTTAGCGTGCATTCAAACTTAACTGCCCATCAGGGAATTCATACAAAGAAACCTTACAAGAGTAATGAGTGCGGCAAAGCCTTTAGTGTGCATTCAAGCCTAACTACCCATTAGGTTGTCCATACTGGAGAAAAACCTTACAGATGGAAGGAGTGTGGTAAATCTTTTAGTGTGCGCCCAAACCTCACTAGACATCAGATCATCCATACTGGAAAGAAACCTTACAAATGTAATGAGTGTGGCAAATCCTTTAGTGTACGTCCAGATCTCATGAGGCATCAAATTATCCACACTAGAGAAAAACCTTACAAATGAAATGGATATGGCCAGGTCTTCAGTCAAAGCTCAAGTTTTGCAAGTCATCAAAGAATTTATACTGGAGAGAAAACTTACAAATGTAATTAGTGTGGCAAGATCCTCAATTGCAATTCACTTCTGGTACAACATCAGAGAATTTATTCTTGAGAGAATCCTTACAGTCTCAAAGAGAATGACAAACCCTTCATCACGAGTTTAAGTATTCATTGACATCAAAGAGTTCATACTAATGAACTATTGAAAAATCCTATAAATATAATGTGTGCAACAGAAGCTTTATTTAGGTGTCATAACTCCTAGACACCGAAATAATACATCTTTGATGAAACCACACAAATGCATGCTGAAGCTATTACCCAAGGGTCAAAACTGTAGAACATTAGAGGATTTATATGAAGAACAACTCAGCTTCTAGTTGTGCATGACAAACTCTTGATATTACCTGCTCTAAAACAATTACAAGTCAAAAATTTATCAAAACCTATGACATGACATATATCAAAGTTTGCAGGATGTTGGGAAATGACCAGTTATCTTCAGATCATAAAACATTTTGTTCAGTTATTTCAGGTTTATTGGAAAGGTGGCTACTTTAATATTTATGACTTTCAACCTGAACTTTGGTATATGTTTTTTTGTTTGTTTGTTTTTATTATAGGAAGTGGCAATTTTATTTACACCAGCAGACTCAGTGAGTTAATGCTCCCAGGCCAAGACCCCAGAAAGGGAGAAGAGGGATCTTATACCTTCGTTTAAGTAAGGGAGGGGGGTCATGTTGAGCAATTACACATTTTCTTTGGAATGTACAAGGTTGTACTCAGCAAAATCAGATCTTTCAAAGAACAAATGGTCTCCAGGAAATGCACAGCAAGCAGGGTTGTAAACTGTCAACTTCAAAAGAGGGGTTTTGAATAAGTCTGTGAATTAGTTACTCTTTTGCATTTCCATGAAAGCCGTCAGTCCTTGGCTAAGGCAAGGCAAAAAAAAAAAAAAAATCGGCAATTGGTTTGAAAACATGTTCTCAGGTCTTGGAGGATTTAAGTACATTACTGAATCTGTAGTCCTATTGGTGAGATCCTGTCTTATCCTCCGTTGCATAGCCTCAATAATTATGAACGCCATTTCTAAGTTTGTGAAAACAGTTGCTAAATGATATATGTTGATATTATGCACCCTTACATGCCTGTCACGGAGATGTCTGGGAAATAATCAAGAGGATGGAAGGGATCACTTCATTAGGTGAGAATCATTTCTTTTATTTTTTTTTTTTGAGTTGGAGTCTCACTTGGTCACCCAGACTGGAGTGCAGTGGCCACTCCCGGCCACCGCAGCCTCGCCTGCTGGACTCCGGCAATCCTTCCGCCTCAGCCTTCCGAGTAGCCAGAATTACAGGCATGCGCTACCATGCCCGGCTGATTTTTTGATTTATTGTAGAGATGAGGTCTCGCTGCCCAGGCGAGTCTCAAACCGGCGGGCTCAGGCAATCCACTCACCTCAGCCTCCCAAAAGGCGTGGGATTACAGGCTGAGCCACTGAACCCAGCTGAGAATCATTTCTATCCAAGTTCCTTAAAGAAGAAGGTCTCTGCTTTTGAAAATAAAATATTCTTTCAATGACAGAGCATAGAGGAGGGGCAGAGAATAAAGTAAAACTGTGATATCAGTCATCTTGCTTAGTGTGTTCAGAGTGCTCTCTTGATAGAAGGGCTCTTGTGGGTTAAAGGAAAGAGTTGCTCTACCCACCGACCATGAAGCGAGCAGACTAGTAACTTAGGACACTGGGTCTTATGGGAGGAGAGAAATGAGTTATTAGTGACTTGTTATGTAATAGAAATAAAGCAGGGGAAATGCTGGCCACCTTCTCTGTTGAATGGCAGTAGCTGTCATACAGCAAAGGTTGATCAACTAAATAACAATAGCATGTTATTTAGTAGGGTTCACATTTACTACTGGTATTACATTTTGCTACTGTTTTATTCAGAATGTATCATAGATCTCGTGATAACTAATAAAATTTAATCTTTTTCATAACTATGAATGATGTTCTTTTCACCAACATAGTTTTATCCCACGTTGATAAGATACTTCATAACAGACAACAACAGTGCTCCATTAGGCTCTTAAGGGTGAAGGAGGATCTAGAAAAACCTTTTTTCTTTTTTTTTTTGAGTCGGAGTCTCACTCTGTCACCCAGGCTGGATTGCAGTGTGCATGCTCACAGCCACTGCAGCCTCCACCTCCCAGACTCAGGCGATCCTTCCACTTCAGTCTTCCAAGTAGCTGGAACTACAGGCATGCACCATCATGCCCAGCTAATTTTTTGATTTATTGTAGAGACGAGGTCTCACCATGTTGCCCAGGCTGGTCTTGAACTTGTGGGCTGAGACAGTCCTCTTGCCTCAGCCTCCCAAAGTGCTGGGAGTACAGGTGTGAGCCACCGTACCTGGCTAGAATAACATTTTTTGTTAGTGGAATCAAGCAACATTCAATGTCAGGAACATATAGAATACACTTGAGTTATTCTCACATTCTGCCTTAGGATATGATCATAATAAAAATCCCATAGATGTTCAGGTCCTTTTTTTTTTTTTTTTTTTTTTTTTTTTTTTGCAATCAGGGTCTCACTCTATCACCCACGCTGGTGTGCAGTGGTACAATCACAGCTCACCACAGCCTTGACCTCCTAGGCTCAGTTGATCCTTCTGCTTCAGCCTCCTGAGTATCTGGGACCACAGGTGCACGCCACCATGCCCAGCTATTTTTTTTTTTTTGGTAGAGATGAGATTTCACTGTTTTGCCCAGACTGGTCTAGAACTCCTGGACCCAAGCAATCCTTCCACCTTGGCCTCCCAAAGTGCTGGGATTATAGGTGTGAGCCACTGCACCCAGCTGAAGTTCAATTTTTGACGCATATCCTAAAAGCTACGTCACTGTTGATGAATATACTGTATCACTGTATTTCTACATTCCTCTTTCTTGTGTATCAAATAAGCTCCAAGCCACACATGCTGATTTACATAAATGGGAAATATATATATGAGGTCTGATAAGTTCACAAACTCATCCTAGAAAAAGTGCTACATACCTCATTGCTGTATCACTATGGTCACCATCAAAGTACTCCCCTTGGGAAGGTACACACCAATACCAGCACCTAGTCCACCCACCAAAGCAATTTTGTAACTCTTCCTGGAATGGCCATCAGAACTGTCATATTACCCTTGATTTCCTGAATGTCCTCAAAATGTCTTCCTTACAATATTTCCTTTGTCTTTGAATAAGGAAAAAGTTATTGTAGGTCAGATCCAGATCAGGTGAGTAGGTAGGGTGTTTCAATACAATTATTTGTTTACTGGCTAAAAACTCCCTCACCAGCTATGTGAGCTGGTGCATCGTTGTGATGCAAGAACTGTTTCCGGGCTATTTTTGCACAAACCTTTCTCAAGCCAAGATTTCAGTTAAGATTTTCTTAAGTGTTTGGCAATCAATGTTTATTTGGCCTGCTATGCTTCTCACAGTCAACCAACAATTCTGACACACAATTTGACAAATTTTTGCAATGTTTTGTCATTTGTCTATTCTCATTACTGACCATTTTAACCTCTCCTCATCAGTGACACTTTCTCCTCAGAAAAATGTTTAATCCATTTTGCACTGCTGTTTTCTTCATGGCACTATTCTCATAAACATGGGCTAGCATGTCTCTGGTTTCACTTCCACTCTTTGCCAATTTTAACAAGAAATGTAATGTCTGTTCATTGGTCTAATTCAAACTCCAACATTCTCACAACAACAGCTCTGATGGTCATTCCAGAAAGAGTTCCAAAATGGCTTTGATAGGTGGTCTAGGCACTGGTGTCAGTACATAGCTTCCTAAGTGGAATACTTCGAAGGTGACTGTAGAGATATTCAGTAATGAGATATGTAGCACTATTTCTAGGATGAGTTTGTGAATTTAGTTGTCAGAACTTGTATAGTAAGAATTTGAAACATAAAAGAAAATGTATAAGGAGTATAAGGGTAAAAATAACACTTTTTTTTAACCTTGGAGTACTCAATGTCATAATTTCAAAAGACTGATGTTCACGACTGTCCTCTTAAAAATTGTAAGCAGGCTGGGCTCAGTGGCTCAGTCTGTCATCCCTGCACTTTGGGAGGTCAAGGCAAGTGGATTATCTGAGACCACAGGTTCGAGAACTTGGCAAGACCTCGTCTCTATAATAAATAAAAAACTAGCCGGGTACGGTAGTACACGCCTGTAGTTCCAGCTACTTGAAGGCTGAGGTGAAAGGATCGCTAGAGCCCAGCAGGTTGACGCTGGGGTGACTGAGCATGCCACTGCACTCCAGCATGGGCAATGGAGTGAGACTCCAACTCAAAAAAAAAAAAAAAAAAGATTGTTAACATACACAATGTGAGCTTTGTTTTGTTCTGGAAGACAAACTGTAAACTTTATATATTCAGCCTATAACATTTTTGGTACTTTTGACTCTGACCTCTCCACTGGAACTGTATTAAACTGTAATGTTTAGTTTCAATATTGAGAATGATGATGCCAAACATTGAGGTGTCATGAGAATGTTTATTTCATAATTAGGCTTTCTGGGAAAAGCAGGGTTGACTTCCCATGCTGGTCCAAAAACGTCTTGAAAGAACAGGGTTAAATAACTCACTTGGGGCTGGGTGCAGTGGCTCATGCCTGTGAATCCCCACACACCTGGAGGCTGAAGCGGGCAGGGGGCATCGCTTGAGCCTGGGAGTTCAAGACCAGCCTGGACAGCATAGTGATACCCGGTCTCTCAAAAAAATGAAAACTAAACAACAACAACAACAAAAGTACCCACTTGGGGTATTATGATTGCCAAAAGATGGGATTGGTGTGGGGAACCCACATGTGGTTTGAACTTTTATCTGCTGCCAAAGGAAGAATAAATATACATTATAAGCTCTCCCAGATGGGTAGAATAGAAAGACGGAGTGTAGAAGTTTAAAAGGGGGTTAGGCCAGGGCACGGTGGCTCATGCCTGTAATCCTGGCATTTTGGAAGGCCGAGACAGGAGGACTGCCTGAGCCCAGGTATTTGAGAATAGCCTGGGCAACTTGGCGAGACCTAATCTCTCCAATAAATGAAAAAATTAGCTGGGCGTG